GCAGGCCGGCGGGGCGTGTTTCAGCGCTGGCCTCACGGGCAGGGAGAATGCCGTGGGTTCCCTTCCCGTGGTGGGTTTCCTCCTGTCTGCCGGGGAAGGCTGGCTTCCACGGCGGCAGCTTGCTTCGGTGAAAATGCGGTGCCCCTTGCGAGGAGCAGCATCGGGAACTCGCCCTGGGCTAGCCCTTGCTGCAGCGGGTGGGCCAGCGGCAGCGCCCGGCGCCTCGTCCCCGCGGCGGGACGGGCCAGGGCTGAAGGAGGTTTGTCAGAGACAGGGCGCTTTCCCCGGGGAAGGAGGCCCCCTCCAGCCGGGAGCTGGGCCGCCCCTGCCGTGGGGTCTCCGTCCCGGGCTGGGGGCCGGTGCTGCGTGCCCCTGGGCTGCAGGTGCCCCCCGGCTCCCAGCCGACTCCGCGAAACGGCCGGCGGCTGATGGCACCCCTCACGGAGGGCTGCAGAAGCTGGGACTGCGTGCCCGGCTCGTCGCCTTAATGCGACCGGACAGCGGAGCTGTCGGTGGAGCTCATACCGCAGTTGTGTGGGGACAGAGCTTTCCCACAGTTCAGGAGACTCGGGGGAGACCAGGAGCCATCTTTACAGAGAGTCCTTTTAGCATGACCTAGGAATTTCCATCTCGTCAGTGCCCTGTGGGAACTGCTGCATGACTGCTTCTTCCAGGGATTCGTCAGCCCAGTTTTACGTGATGAAATTTGGCCTTGTTCTGTCCTAAAGCTAGGATTGGTGGTTCCTGAACGAGCCCTGCTTCTGAGAGTGGTTCTGCCCCAAAAACATGCATGGGTTTTTGTTCTCCCTTTGCTGGGGTTGAGACAATTAAAAATCTTTGTTCTGCAAGGTGCTAGATAGAGCTCGTAACATGAAAAACTGGTTGGCACAGCTCTTCGTTCCACAGCCATGTGACCTTGTCAACGTTTGAGTGCTGGCTATAGTTTTTCCACCTGTCTGTGTATTCTGAAGATTGAAATTTATTTCATCTTCTTTCCGTGTATTCTGTTTGTTGTTAGAAAATGAAGACTCAGCCCCGAAGACAGAGCCTGCAGATCAGCTGGTTGATTCTTTGGAGTCCAGTTCTTCGCAGAGTGGGTAGGAAAATCTTTTTCTGTATTGTGGCTCATGTGCATGACGGTCTGTTTCACCCCTGTGACCTCCTCGGTACGGCAGTTGATTCTGTGCAGATGAAGGGAGGGCACTGGAGACTGAATTGTCGACTTTGGGACAGTATATACTGGATTCAGTACAGGAGGTGCTGTTGTTACAGGCTTAAGATTGTTTTAAAGGTTATGAAATGATGAAGTGTAGTGCATGGCTCAGCTATTCAAATCACAGAATCATTCAGCTTGGAAGGAACCCTGCAAGGTTTTGTAGTCCACTGCAGGAAATTCTCTCTATCCTGTCTGAAGGATAACTTAATAATCAAGCATTCCCACTGTCTATAATTCTGGTGGAAGCTGAGCAAGAAAACACCTTTTACTGTTTTCCTGACAATGTTTTGGTTTTTTTCTTCTCCCCTTGTTTTCTGTGTCACTCCTTCATTAATGCTGCTGATCGACCCTGTTATCAGATGTTTGGCTTGTTATTATCTGTTGGGCATGTGGTGCTTGTGGCCAAGTCATTGCATTGGTTACAAGCACTAATACCATATGCAGTGGAGTTTCATTTGCCATCGTACATTTGTTGCACAGGATACAGTTTCAGAAATGTGTGAGTTAACTACATCAGACAGTAGATAAACCACAACTTCATTGAAAAAGAGGGGAAAAAAAATTCCAGCAAAAAAAACCACCAAACCACCCTACTCACTAAAACAGCAGTTCGATGCCATCTTGGCTTGATGCTAATGACATCTGTATCAGCCTTCCTGGCTCCAAACCTGTGTTCTTCCATCTCTTTATTATGTCCTCTAATTTTCTTCAAAGAGATTAATATAGACGGTGAGCAAAACGGCCAAAGTAGATGCTGGATACTTGTGGATGTTACCTGATAAATTTGTCTTAAGTTAGATCTCCTTTGAAAAGGACAGGGGTGGTCCAAAAGGGTTGTGTGAGGAGGAATCAGCTGAACTCTGGCTTTGTAAATCTGCTTATAAAGCTTGTGTAGCTCTTCCTAACCTTTCAGTGAGACTCTTGGGTTTCGGTGGTGTCTGGAGGAAAAAATTCCCAAGCTGTTAGCTCCTATGTTGATGGAGAGCCTTCTGAGCAGATGTGTGCACCTATGGTAGCAAGTGACCAAATAGCCCTTCTGGTGTGATCATGCAACTGATAAGCTAAAAAGCAAACAGGCTGGAAAACGATGGCATAGAAGTCCAAATTTGTCCTGGGCTGCCAGAGAAATTGTTATGGATTGCTGTGAGAGTTCTTCCTTTAAAAAACTGTCCCTTCCAAGTGTCCCTTCTTTTCTTATATTGTCCATCTGCTGCCATTTTGTGTATCCTGGTATTCAGTTCATTTGAGCTGTTCTTATAGACCTTCTGGTCTATCATGCCATTTCTAGGAAAGGAAATCACACTGTTGAGAGAATTTAAGTAAGAAATAGCTTTATTTCTGGATAAAATCTGTACCCCCATAGGAGTAAAGATTTGGAAACAAAAGCCACATTTGTTCTAGTCTTCTCTATGGATGCAGCAAGGAATGTGTCTGAGTGGACCTGTGTATGGGGTTTTTTAAATTATTTTTTTTAAACTATTCCACACTATACTGATAGTTTGCTCCCTTGCTAATGAGAATATTTCTCATTTCTGAAAGGAGACATTTGAGGAAATGCACATATTTTCCATTACTGCTGTGTTCTCATGTTTCTGATCCTTTAGACCAAGGCAGCTGACATTGGTCTTAGTGCTGTGAGAAGGCTTTGCTTTTCAAAAGGGCAACTGTTTCTATTCTTACTAAAGACTAGGTTGCTTCTCATGGAAGTTTCACATAGTGTCTGAGAGTATGACAGAGGACATTCTTCTGGCATCCATCTGAGTTCATTTGGGATGATAATTCTTCCGCGCTATAGACAATATGCAGCATTTTTAAAATATAGTTTAGAAGAAAACCCTCAATAGAGAAAGAATGCCAGCGATGTTTCCTTTCTTGCCCACTGTTTTCCTGCTATGTACCTTTCTTTTTGTTCTAACATGTCCATGTCCTCTTGTCACAGTGCAGTATTTGGACCTCTTTGCTATTGTTGTGCTGCCGTTGTATGTCTGAACAGCTTGCTTGTCTGTGCAGCATGTTTGGATATGTCAGGGAGATGCCTGGGTGCTCCCTGTATCTCTTGGGATTGCTAGTAGGAAAGGCATAATGGGCCACTTAAATAGAGGGCATTTTCAGGATGGCTGTCAAAACTGTTTTGAATCCTTTCGCTGATCCAGTTGACCTCTGATGGAATATGCAGACGTCATGTAGCAGCTGGCATAAAAGAAGTTGTCCTTTCTTGAGCAGAAAAGTTGCTGCTGATTTCTGCACTTAGGACAATGTTGGTGAGCTAGCATGCTGTGGTGTGAGTGCAGGGAATTACCGCAGTCTAAAGGACGGTAAATACAGAGTATCTAACTGAAGTTGCTCCCTCTGGCTCACATGGAAGATGGTCACATGGAGATGTGGGCAGGACTGGGGTGCAAAGGGCTCTTTGTGCAGTTGGCAGGTGCTGACCACAGAAGCTTGTTCCCTTCAGTCCATTTGAATTCGAGTTCCAGAGCTGAGTGACTCCTCTGCTGGCTGTGCCCTGGGTGCAAGTGCTGAATTGTAGTGCTCTCTTCCTTCGAAAGGTCGCAGATTGGGTCACTCGTGAGTGCAGGCACGACAGAGGATTCGAAAGAAGCTGGCGCTTTGGAGGACCGCGAGGTGGCTGAACAAGAGGAGAAGCTGCCTGACCAAATCCAGTCCCTCAAAGAGGTAGGTAGATGTTTCTTATGTCTGAAAGCAAGGACAGAGGTGCAGCAATAGTTCTTCCACCCTACTGCTGTGCTTATGGCTATGGGACTGAGGCTTTAAGGGTTGTGTTAAGACAAAAGTAGTATTAACATAGATTCAGTTATATTTTTTTCTATACGTTAGCGGGAGGTAAACGTTATTGGTCTGACTTGCAAAATCCCTCTTGTGTCTTCGGCTAGTCCTCACTTCCTTGCAGTTTTTGGCTTGCTAAGGCTTCAAGGTTATTCTCACCTTCTGCCTCTTGTCTGGGGCTTCTGGGAATTCCCTTCTTGCAGACTTGTGGAAGAGGGAAGTGAAAGCGACTCTGCTGTCTTTTGTTTCTTTTGGTGAGCAGCCAATTTGTTTGCATTACAGGTACAGTCAGGAAAACCTGTGCAAGTGGCACCCAGCTCAGGAGCTGTGAGTTTGCATACATGAGGGGAGAGGGCTGGCCCTAGTGAACCAGATGGACTTTTAACTAGGACACAGCAAATGACAGTTTGATTGTGGCTGTAGTCTAGATGCACACAGAGCTGAAAGCCTCTCCCTAGCGAGATTGTGTCTTGGGAATTCTTTCCAAGAGTAATCAGCTAATCAGAGAGGTGACAATTAACTCTGAGGCAGATGCAAAGATGTGCCTGCCCAGAGCCTCCTGGGGAGGCCAAGGGGTGTGTAAGCTGTGAGACTAACGCAGCATTTGGCTTCAAGGTTCATGACTTCAGTGCTGTGGGGGAAATAATGCAGAGAGGTGTCTTGGAGCCAGCCAGTTCTTTTTAACTAATAGAAGCTTTTGCAGGGTCCAACTTGGCTTCAGAAAGGTGCCTAAATTACTAATGAGTTGTTTTAAATCCGGCTGGGGACTTTCTTACCACGATGGTCTTTGTGACAATGTTTCTTATGTGCTTTGTGCAGGAATCTGTTGTTCGGATAACCAACTATCATGTACCTCAAGGAGCGGGGGATATAGTCATGATTCAGTCAGATCACACTGGTGCTGTGGATATCCTTTCAGCTGAGCTGGAGACTGCAGACCTCCTTGGGGAGCAGAGGAAAGGTGAGCCCTGAAAGGAACATACTTGCTGGGGCCGCTTTTTAAGTGCCTGCCCTGGCTAGGGAAGAGCAGAGGCTGTCCTGGAGGTGCTGCTAATTCCTGCTTTTTTGCTTGGTCCGCTTTTTAATGGCCTGCCCTGGCAAGGGAAGAGCAGAGGCTGTCCTGGAGGTGCTGCTAATTCCTGCTGGAAGTTTGGGCTCCTGGCTAGCGAGTGGGAAAATTTCACATCCAAGGCTTCTGGGAGCAGGCTTCAGAATGCAAAAGCCTTATCAGAAATAGCTTCACTGTTTTCAGATAATGATTTGTCAGTACTGACAAGTCAGGTGAGCCCACGATCTTTTCCTTTGTCTCAGCTCAGCCTCCCCCTCTGGCTCCACCCACCATGTGGACCACTGAGAAGACGAAGGAATTCAAAGCCAAGATGGGAAAGGAGAAGAATGGCCGGATGGTGGTGAAGCGAGGCGAGGTGGTGACAGTCCGCGTGCCAACCCATCCTGATGGGAAATGCATTTGCTGGGAGTTTGCTACAGATGACTACGACATTGGGTTTGGAGTCTATTTTGACTGGACCACGGTTACTAGCACTGCCATTACTGTTCAGGTCAGCGAATCCAGTGATGAGGAGGATGAAGAGGAGGAGGAGGAAATTGAAGGTTAGTGCAGAGCTTAAAGGGTTAATTTGTGGTGCTTGTTGCCATGCTGCCGAGAGCGATGCTGTAATTTCCATCTACTTTGTTTACTCAGCCTACTTATTATCTCTCCAGCCTTTTGGGTTCTTGGTTAGGCTGTGATGAGAAAGCATTTAGCCCTTCCTGCTGCAGCATATGTCAATGGCTGTCCTTCTCCGAGAACATTCTTAAAATTGAACACATTGAAAAATAAAATCAGAATTCACTTGTTCAACTTCTGGCTGATAAAAAGATTAGGGTCTGAAATTTTAACTTGACTGTTTTTCTTAGCCTCTCAGACTAAGAAATTTCTGGTGGTGAGTAGGAGCAAAAAGGTTTTGTTTTGAGCTTTTTTTGTTGGTTGTTTTTTTTCTGCCAGTACATCAGTAGCTCCTGCTGAGGATTGCTACCTGTGTCTTTGTACTTGTGAAACACACAGCGATATTGCCTGTTCTGTGGCTTCAGTGTATGTGTGACCAGTGTAGCTGGAGGGTTGGTGTCTGAAATTAATTTTGCAGGTTCTCCAAAGAGGGGTAGGTTCCTGTACGAGGAATCCTCTTGGAGAAGTGAATTGAGGACATAAACACAGTGAGATTATAGCTAAGAGCTTGCCCGCCTTTCTTTTGCTTCAAGTCCATATCACTGGACCACTGTTGTGTGTATAAAAGCAGTGAGGTGTCTAAAAGGTAAGTCCAGGGAGAGGAGACCAGGCTGTCAGGCAAGTGGATACTGTTCCATCAGTATTCCCAAGAGAACTGGTTCTTGGCATGTCCTTTGTCATGAGAAGAAAAGCTGGACTTTGTGGGTATTATTTGCAGAAAGGTCAGAGCAGACACTGTGGGTAATGCTAGCATAGTAAGCCTTCCATAAATCTGTGTGCCTCTGCTGCATTCTGGTCTTGTGGATCTTTTTCTGGACTACCTAGTGACTTAACTGGCTCTGGCCTACTTGCTTGTCTCCTCTCTCCCATTCAGGACTCGCCCCTGTTGGTGATGTGGAAAGGGGCTCCAAAAGCTATCTGCGGAACCGCTACGGAGAGATTATGCCCGTATATCGGAGGAACAGCCATCGGGAGGTGCAGGCAGGCAGCCACGAGTACCCAGGCGAGGGCATCTACCTGCTGAAATTTGATAACTCGTACTCTCTTCTCCGCAATAAGACTCTGTTCTTTCATGTCTATTACACTAGCTGAAGAAATGGGAAGGGGCAGGGACAGCAGGCGGGTAATGGTGAGTGTAGCAGGCTGCCACCCAGCCCTGGTACCGCCTGATGGGCACTGCTGTGTGACAGAACCAAGGCACAATTCTGCCGGCTCCTCTTCAGACACTAACTGGTTTCTCCCCACACCCTCCTTCCCCGCTGTCCAAGTGGAGAAAGGTAGTTGTGACTGCCTGGTTGTCCACAGGCAGCTGCTTTTTCTGTAAAACTTCGGGACGTCTGCTCTGTGCAGGCATCGGGCTCGGCCTTCGTCTCACAGCCGGTGAATGCCCAGAGGCCAGGTTCGGGTGGTCGTGGTTTCGATCTGTTGCGCTGGTACGAAGTGAAATGAAAATATTCTTGACCTGTTACTATTTTGTGAATAACTTTTCCAACTCTCCTGCTGCATCTGCATCACTAGAGGGCAGCTGTCAGCTGCAATGAGCCAAAAGCACAGCTGGCTTGTCACCTAGCCACTGATAATCTCGTCGCCTGCCACCACAACATGTCACCAGCAGCCAGTGCTTCCTTCACTCATGCGGGTGGGGGTGCGTG